GAACCAGTGCACATATATCCTTGTCACACCTTAACGAATCTAAAGCCATCTTGATATCTTAGGAAACTTAAGTACTCAAGTATGTTGGTACGACCTGCATAACAGAACTGACAAGAGAGCTTTAAACCTTGTCTGGTGCTGACCTTGTAACTGCCTGTATCACGCGTAGTTCCTCGAGTAAAACTACCTCAATCACCTTTCCGTGCTTTTGCAATATCACAGCGGCTTCTTGCTAGTGGCGCTACGGCAGGTACGACCTTAGCGGGTCTATCTATGAATGTTTGTTTCCTGGGTCCACATCGTTATATTTTAAGTTACAAAGTCCTAAGAAGTGTGGTACTATCTGCAAACGAGAACCAAGAGGGAATCAACTTGCCAACAAATGACCGAGTACTCAAGTATGTTGGTATGACCTGCATAATAGAGCTATCAAGAGGGTACTCTAAACCGTGTACGTTGTTGACCTTCTAAAGGCCGCAATGTCCTTCCACCTGTACTGCGAGTAGTTCCGCGAATAGAACCACCTCAAGCACCGTTTCGTACTGTTTGCGATATCACAGACCCTCGATGCTGGCGGTACTACGACAGGTACGCCCTTAATGGAATACATTAAGTTACAACGTCCTAAAAATGTAGTACCACCTGCAAATGGGAACCAAGAGGGATTTGTCCTGCCTGTTGTTTACTTCCCACAGATCACGAACTCCTTCTACATGCCTAAGTGGTTCCGGGAATAGAGCTAGTGCACATATATCCTTGTCATACCTTAACGAATATTAAGCCATCTTGATATCTTAAGAAACTGAAGTACTCAAGTATGCGGGTGCGACCTGCATAACAGAATTAGCAAGAGAGATTTAAACCTTGCTTGGTGCTGACCTTGTAACGGCCGCGGGATCCTTCCACCTGTACCGCGAGTGGAACCAGCTCAAATACCTTTTCGTACTTCTTGCGATATCACAGTCACACGTTGCTGGCAGTACTACGACAGGTACGACCTTAGCGGAACTATCATCATCATACCTTAACTTATAAAGTCATAAAAAATATAGTACCCCCTGCAAATGAGAACCAAGAATCATCTTAAGAAGATGAAGTGCTCAAGTAAGTTGGTGCTACCTGCATAACAGAACTAACAAGAGGGCTTTAAACTTTGTACGCTGCTGACCTTCTAAAGGCCGCGGGCTCCTTCCACCTGTACTGCGAGTAGTTCCGCGAGTGGAACCACCTCACGCACATTTTCGTGCTTCTTCTCGCGATATCAGAGCCACTCGCTGCCGGCGGTGCCACGGCAGGTACGACATGCCCGCGAATCGCGTCAGGCGGTACCCGCGCCCGCGTGGTGCATGCTAGCTGCTCGTGACCCGGTGGTGCTGAAGTGGTGTTTCGCGAAGTACTCAGTACGGGCTTTGGTGCTTGTTTTTGGTATGCTTGTCTGGATTTTTGATAGGTACTTGTCAGTGCTTTTGGTCAGTACACAAAAATTAACATTTTTTATAAGTGGAAAAATATAGATAGCAATGTTTGGAGACATACCATTGTCTTGAAAGTATTTTTTCTACGCAACTCATTGACTCAGACTCAAGAAGTTTCTAACAGCTCGGCAAAAGCCCTGAATTCGTTTGCGCCATATACAGGGTGTGACGTTATGGGTGGATCAACGAAAGACAGATGTTAGACAACCTCAAGCTTAACGAACTAATCCGTATATGTGTTATCCGAAATTCAATAGTTGGAGAAACATTTCCACTTTTGTCAAGTTTATAAAAAAGCATATCTCGATCTTTGCAATTACTGTACTGATTTGGAGACAAGGTTTATGTAAGCCCGAATATGAAATTGAAATTTCAAGTTTTCTTGGATAATCCTGTTATATCCTCAATTGTCAATAAAAACAAATCGGCCTACCGTTATTTCTAAAATATGTTAAGTAACTGCTAAATTCCATAATAAATTAACCCTCCAATCTTTATCCATCTACAATGAAGGCTTCACTGAGTTGTATAAGTACAAAAATAGTCTAAGAGGTTGAGGTCACAATTCATTTACAAACATCTCTTTCCTGGAATAGTTCAATCCAATTGCCTGACCTGATTGAGATTGGTTGACGCTAAAACTCATGACTGTGGATCATAGGGCCCAATAAAGACTATGCAACGACAATTTTCAACACGGCTGTGCCTCTGAGAACAAAAAATGTAGAGCGGCAGGAGGGATCGTCTGCGTTTAATGGTACTGGTACGGGGGAAAAATTATCCATTGCGTCCCCCCCCCCCCTGCCATCATCCACAGGAGGGCGTTGCCGCCCGCCTTGAAAAGAACTGCTCTAGAGTATTAGGCATTACTCAGCCTATTGATTACTTCAAAGCAGATTGATGAATGGCCTCATTCACAATAAGCACAAGCATGTTGAAATGCCAAGTCTCAACATACAACTCTAATGGTTTAAACTGTATACGATATTTCATATATGGTTGCGGGTACAACCGACATTTATAGTGATGCAAAAACTTAGTTATTATACTATTAACATGATTGATGCGAATTATGAATTGCTCCGAGTGTGCAGGATATCGATAATAACAGTGTCTATTGTATTCCTTTCAGCAACTGATTTCTCAACACCGTTTGATCTGTAAAGATGAATACCTTTAACATCATTTCGAACAGTCAATAAATACATAATTTACATTTAAAGGTCGTTCGTATATGGGGCATCCTAGATTACGAGAGTAATATTTTAGTCGCATGCAGAAAAATTATAAAAATAGGCGCTCTAAAGTGAACCCCTTATCTGAAGCGGAATCAAAATCGCATTGGTTGTGCATTGTCTAGCGTTCCATTACAGCCAAGTGTAAATAGTAGCTTACAGCTCTTTTCACTATTTTTGGTAGTTACGTCACAATGCCGCACGAAATAAGTATACAGGTAAACTAATAATCTCTATGTCTGGCTGTCCAATGAAACCAAATATATTATTTATCTGACTTCCAGGTGACACTCCGTTTGTTTTTTCTTTTAAGCCTCAGATTCCTATATAGTGTGTTATTACAATAATCTGGAAGGTCCGTAACATGTTGAGCTTGCGTGATGACGTCATTCAAAGTCTTAAGATGGCGCCGCGTTTGGGTCATGTATAGTGGACCTCCCCTTTCGAATCCCAAACTACGTTTGAGAAAATCCCTATTTAGTCTCAATATGATATCTCAGTCACCCATCCATCAGTTGTTCGGCATCTTCCCCAACATACACATCTAAATCTTCGTCGCCAGGTTTCAGAGGTTTCGCAATTAGTATCAGGCCAGCTTCCTTCCAGGTTTTCGGAAATCTCCCCATCCTCAAACAGTCGTTCATCATGGACAGCACAAAACTGGAATGTCTACGGCGTAAATTGCACGCCGAACATTTGGCGCATATTTTCTTCGGCGCTTGTTTGGCTGTATGTTGCAGATCCAACAAAGTTGCGGACTTGGTGTGGCGGATGTTGCGAAGCAAAGTTGTATTTGAAGTGCATCTTTAGCTGCTCAAACCTGATCCACAAATAATCATGTACGATATAGATCAAGCTCGTACTATAATACGAGGAATGTCTTTTAAGTTTTGCATATAGAAACATAGTAGGCCACGCGGTACGAACGTCAGTACTGAATCTTAACCTCACTCTTTCGTAAACTTAAATTCAAAGTTTCACAACAATACGTGCACTGTTCTCACTACAGTGAATTTTTAAGTGTCACCAAATCATTTGAAAAATGGAACTCAACCGAGAACATTTTCGCGACATAATTTATTACAACTTTCAGAGACAATTATCGCAACAAGAATGCCTTGCTGAGTTACTGTCTGTTTTCGGCAACGAAGCGCCACATCAGTCGACAATTTACCGTTAGTATGGAGAATTCAAACGTGGGCGGGGGGGGATCCCAGGGTGGGTGCACCAAAAACGGCAGATAGACATGTGACATATCGCGAGATTGAGGCGTCCTTGAAGATCTCAAAGATCTCAATTCAAAAAATGTTACATAAAAAATTAGGAGTAAGAAAATAGTTTCTCGTTGGATACCCCACCTGTTGACTGAAGAGCAGAAAGCAGCCAGGATTAATTGGTGTCAAAAAACGCTTGACCGCTTCAATTCCGGAAACTCAAAAAATGTGTACAGCATTGTTAGTGGTGATGAATCGTGGATTTACTATTATGAACCACAAAATAAACGACAGTCGGCTGTTTGGGTATTCCAAGGTGAAGAAAAGTCAACAAAAGTCATTCGTTCTGGAAGTGTTTCGAAAAAGATGGTCGCGATATTTGTGTCAAAAGCGGGTCATATTGCAACAATTCCTCTTAATGAGCAAAGAACAGTTACTGCGGATTGGTATACCAACATTTGTTTGTCATCACCGAGCTTCGAAAAATTACTCAGTACTTTACGGAAGAAAACGTGGAATTATTGGACCATCCTCTATATAGTCCCGATCTAAGTCCTAACGATTTACTTACTTTCCCGAAAATTAAAAACAGGCTGCGTGGTCAAAGGTTCCAGTCACCAAACGAAGCAGTTGACGCATTCAAAAATGCCGTTTTGGATCTGCCAGCAAACGAGTGGAATAAGTGCTTCGAAAATTGGTTCGAGCGCATGCAGATGTGTATTAATCTTCGTGGAGAATACTTCGAAAAACAATAAAGTCATTTAAAACTACCTACCGTGATGTTTTATTTCCATATGCAAAACTTAAGAGACATCCCTCGTAAAATTGCTACCGACTGATATGAAGACAATTTATGGTTAACCGAGAAAACATTACAGATCCTATTTGTTTTGATTTTAAACGCTATGATTTCTGAAATCGGCAAATAAAACAAGCTCAATTGTTTTCCATTGTTTTACGATGAAACATTACTGCTGATTCCACGTAAAATTGTTTATTGTTAATAACAACATGCTGAGTCTGCGTTATATGAGACAATACACGATGTGCTTCTTTCCTGAAAGCCGACAATACATACAGTAGTAGTTTTTCTGTATAAAGTGTAGTTCTAATATCTATCGTACAAATTGACAAAAAACCATAAATATTTGCGAAAACGGAAGTTAAATCCGATAATACTCTTTAATACGATTTGTTTGCATCTTAGGTTACATAATATATTGTATAAACCTTAAGACAAAAGCTTTGAACAACTTTTACAGAAATAAAATTAACAGACAGTCATTTGATTGATCTTTAGGCAAACTTCACCTCTGATAAATATAAAGTTTTGTTGAAACCTCTTGTTGGTGCTTCTTCAAGCTTTTATTGTTTTCTATATGGTTCAGCACGATATGTTTATTTGATTTTTATAAAAATGTAATGCCAACTCTCAGGTCGATGCATTCCAATAATCTGCATTATCTACAATATTTCAAATTAAGGTTTCCTCGAACATTGCTATCATATTTCTATTCTATCAAAATTCACAGTCAGACACAAAGCTTTTATGAAAAACTTCGAGATTATATTTGATCCCGTACAACGAATATTCAAAGTAATCACCATCGAAACAAAGATGCCATCAGATATAGTGTCAGTAGTGGTATCAACAGGAGTTGGAGTTAGTGTACTTGCTGGGATTCTTTCTGGAGTTTGCTACATTATAGCTCATGGTGTCAAACGAAGACGGTGAGTACCACATTTGGGATTGCTATGATACTTTACGATTTATCTGTAGACTAGGTATTTCTCCAGCTTAACTCTTAAAACTTTTGACATCCGGGTTTGTCAAAAACAAAAGTTATTTTTATGCTTGGAAATACCATAACATCTTAAAAATATTTCCAAAGACCAGTAGAGTAATTTTTTCATGGATTCCAAGTCACTTGAGAATAGCTGGTAATTACTGGGCCAAGAAAAAGTCTCTAGAATGATGAAACAGCTAGTTGGGGCACAGGCAGTCGAAATAGATCATCACAAAACGAAAGCTCGAATTAAAGATGATCTCAAACCAGACCACTGTCGTCTAAATCGATAAGAGTTACATAAAAACGAGATAATGTCAATAAAAAACGGTATCATGTCAACTTATGAACTAGATAGTCGTTAGTCCACGACATGCACACTCGCTGTGAACGTCATCTATGGAGGTATGGCACAACTGCCTATAGTATGGACCTAAAGAAGCTATAACAGACAACACGCATAGCTAGTACAAGTGCATATGAAGTAAAGGACGGCTAATTCTAAGAAGCAAATTATTTTGGTGGTGGTTCTAATTCAAAGTCGACCAATTCATAACCAAACGATTTTTTTTTTCATAACAATGGTGTCGTGACAAATACCTAGCTCTGAATTTTTTGAAACCAGCTAGGGAGGCTCGTTCTGATTCCGCACGGGTAATGTGTAAAAAACCTATAAAACGTCAATAAAATCTATAAAATGTCATCTTGCAGACTAGCTAGTTCTTAGGGTTGAAACAGTCATTCCACCAGGATCGTTGTGAGCGTCCATCTATGGAGTAATGACTCAACTACATGCATTGCTTGCTCTGAGAAGAAAGTTGGTTGAATAGCAAGATTGCATCCGGATGATTATGTGTATTGGTCTGCATATGTATAAAATCAGTGATATTTACTGTGTGAGAAAATCATTACTGATTGAATGAAGTACGAGTATATCTATTAGCTGTGCCCGGCGGAAGACATCGTATGTCCAAAGCTATAAATTACGATTATTTACGTTTTTTGTGATTTCAAAAAGCAGAATTACGGGAAATCACCACCACGCCCGCGTTGTGTGTAATTACTGTTAGCATGTATATGACTAAATTGACAGTGTACAGTGAATATAATTATTTCTTACCTCTTGTTTCTGAAATTCACCAAATTTGCATATGTAATTTCCAGAATGGATAAGAAAATGGATACGCAACTAATTTCTAGCTTTGAATCACAAGTAAGTGTATTTGAGACAAGAATCCAATGAAACTATTATTTATCAACATATAATATTAACACACAAATCCTCACTATGCACCTATGCATTGCAGTTTCCTTTTAGCTATAGAATACAGCTTAGACCTCCAGTAATGCCATCTCTGAAACAGATTTTACATCACATCAGAGCTAAACATCAATAACTGAAGCGTCATGCTACGTTTAGGCAACACGTATAGTATAACTACGAAACGAGTTCACAACATGTCCATCAGCTAATACTAAGTTAACATCTTGTAGAAAAACCTAAATAATGTCACAAACAACCAATAGGTACAAATTGACATAATGTCACTTTTCAAGATACGTAATACCCGTGCCAGTCTGTAACAAAGGTCATGGATTGGACGTGAATCACAAATACAGGGTTTGTCCGGAAAGTAATAGGACTCATTTTCTTCCGTCATGACTGTACTTCGGAGGGTGCGCGCACCGACTGGATTCGGTAGAGGGCGTTCCTAGCTAACGAATGAGCGGTTGATCAGTTGTCTCCGAGCACTTGGAGAGTCAGGACAGGCATTTTCGCGCGACGTGTTTCTGTGAGTGGTGCAAGCCGAAAATGCAGCGTTCGTTAGAGCAGAGGTACGCGATTAAATTCTGTATGAAAAGCAGGTTTACCCAGGTGTTGCTTTAGCAAGAAGTGGTGTGTTTCGGTGGCACCAGGCCTTTTTGGACGGTTGGGAAGAGGTCGCTGATGAAGACCGTTCTGGAAGACCTTCGACTTCGACAAACACCGATAATGTGACTCGTGTGCGCAAAGTTTTGAACTCAGACCATCGACTAAGTATTCGCTTAATTGCCCAGATGTTAAATTTACCAAAATCTGTGGTTCATGACATTGTGACACAGCATTTGAACATGCGCGAGGTGTGCGCGAATATGGTCCCAAAAGTGCTCACTGACGACCAGAAATTGCGGCGAGTGGAAGTGTGCCAAGAAAATTTGAACATGTGTGAAAGTGACCCCCAATTTTTTAATAACGTAATCACAGGTGACGAGTCGTGGATCTTTGAGTATGATCCCGAGACAAAGAGGCAATCTTCCGAGTGGCACACTACGGCGTCTCCTCGCCCAAAAAAGGGAAGAATTTGCAAATCCAAAGTGAAAACGATGCTCATTGTCTTTTTTGACATCAAAGGCATCGTCCACCATGAATTTGTTCCTCCTGGACAAACCGTCAACGCCAAGTTTTACGTGAAAGTGCTCAGGAGACTCAAACGAAGGGTCAGTCCGGTCCGACAAGACATCGCAGCCGACTGGAAGTTGCACCACGATAATGCCCCGGCTCACACCGCCTTTCTTGTGCACAGCTACCTGACCAAGGCTGGCATCCCAACGCTTCTGCAGCAGCCCTACAGCCCAGATGTGGCACCCCCGGACTTTTTTTGTTTCTTCGCCAGAAAAGGCCGATGAAAGGCAAGCATTTTGCGACGACAGAGGAGATCCAAGCTGCATGCACCGCGGCTCTCAAGGATATTCCGGAGAATGCGCTGGCAGCGCTGCATCGACGCAGAAAGAGCCTATTTTGAAAGTTTATAAAGAATTGTAACGATTGGCTCAATAATTTTTTTTAAATCGGCTCAGTCCTATTACGTTCCGGACAAACCCTGTATGAAGCAATAATATGTAGTATTTACAGTTTTACTTTTATGTTCTGAAAGTCCAAATCAATTTGAAAACCGACACATTCGGTTGCTAGTCGCAATAACGTCATGAGTTACATCATTATCAGAATCGTTCATGACCACTGTCAAAAAATCTATCATTTCTATATCGACTAGAACCAGAACTCTTTACGGAAAGAATTAGCCTATTGTGACATTGTTTCGGAAAATCATAAATAATGTAATTGAAAAGCGATACAGTACAACTTTCTAGGTTACGTAGAACTAGTGCCGCAGGGTTATTATGTAAAAAACCTATATAATGTCAAAAAAAGTACAAAATGGCAACTTGCTGACAGAATAGTTCCTAGTGTGCAAATAGTTCATTCCGCGCTTGCTCGCTATGAGCGCTGCAAGTTAATTCCCCTGCAAGCTTTGTTGGTTGCAAACATGCAGCTGAAGCGTCATGACGTTTAGGCAACACGTACATCTATAGAACGAGTGCACATCAACAGGTAGTTCTAAGTTGACATCTTGTAGAAAAGCCTACATAATGTCACAAAAACTTTTAAAGATACGTAATAACCCTACCAATCTCCTTATATTCCATTAAGTCTCAAAATAAAGATGTGCTAAGTGAGAAATTTGAATGTAAAGTTATAGACATTGAGCCAATCAAGAAAAGAGTTGACATTTTCCAAGCAATCCTTCAATTAGACTACGGTACTTATAATAAAATTATGTCTGTCAACAAGGGTAAGTTATTCGTGGGGTATGATGTTTGTGGCGTGTATGATGAAATTTCTATCAAGCGATGTTTCAATTGCAGTGGTTTCTCCCATGTTTCTGGTCAATGTAAGAGCCAAACTCACTGTCCTCGGTGTGGCGATAGCCACTTACTGAAAAACTGCAAGGCCAAGAACTTAAAATGTATTAACTGTGTTAGAAATAATCTAGACAGAAATACCAACTATGACATGTCACATGCGGCTTCGGATTCTAGGTGCCCATGTTACTTACCAAAAGTTGAGGAGTTTAAAGCTAGGTTATTTTTTTCTTAGTTCGGATTTTCCCGGTGAAATCCCTTATGAACAGTTAAATACTCAAAATTTTGTAAGAGTTTCTACTTCTACCTTTTTTGATCGTCGCATCTCTGTTTACTACCAGAACGTACGCGGTATGAACTCTAAGTGTAAAGAATTCTTTGTAAATGTCGCTATGTCTGACTATGATATCATCTGTTGTACTGAAACTTAGCTGCAGTCTGCAGTACTTAGTTCTAAATTATTTACTGACAAATATGTTGTATTTAGAGCGGACAGAAATTGACATAATTGGAATCAAACTTATATATAAAAATGAAGTGACTTATTTCTTTGTGATATACATACCGCCTGACACGAGTACTTCCTGCTATGAAAGATTATTTGAACATCTAGAATCGCTTGATTACCTCTTTGGCAAAAGTATTTATATGCTAGGTGACTTTAATGTTCCCGAATTTGTTAATGAAAATCACCTCCAATCTTCTCACAAGCTGAAAACAATTCAGTCATTTATGGGTTTCTTCGATCTTTCTCAATTCAATGATGTTCGGAATGAAAATAATAGGCTATTAGATTTGGTGTTATCAAATAAACAATGTAGCGTCGTTAAGGCTTATGATGACCTACTACCTGAGGATGTTCACCATCCTCCGCTTTTCATGATAATCAACATGAGCTTCCATTCTAAAAAGAGTATCAAATGCGCCAGAGAATCATATAATTTCAGAAAAGCCAATTTTGTAGCACTATAATGAACAAATAAGCTTGGTTAATTGGACGTTTCTTGACAATTTAACAGATGTAAACGTAGCTTTGGAAACATTTTATAACATTCTTCATAAAATTTTTAATATGTGTGTCCCTAGGACAAGTCTCAGATCTCTCAAATTTCCAGTTTGGTTTAACGGTGAAATGATTAGAGACATTAAAAGAAAAAATTTGCTACACAAAAAGTTTAAAAAGGATAAAAGTTTGATCACATACACTGAGTTCAAAGACTTAAGGACCAAAATTAAGCGCGATGAGCGTAACGCATATCA